GATCCGGATTTTGTCGGAATCCGATGAAAACCGATAGGATCCAATCAAAATTTACTCGTATCCAGTCGGATTTCACATCGGATTCCGGGTCACGGGATTCCCGGCTACTTCCAAAAGGATCGTGCCGATATTAAGACCATCCGACAGGATCCGATGGCTCAGCTTTGTCCTGGGTGGTCACCATCTGAGTTGGTAGCCCACCGAGTTCGCAACCATCGGAGTTGGTAACCATCTGAGTTAGTAACCATCTGAGTTGGTAACCATCTGAGTGTGGGTGTGGGGTGTGTGGTGTGGATGTGGGTGTGGGTGTCGGTGCCTCTGGGTGGGAGAATGTGAGAGTATAGGTGTGCGAGGAGTACCGACACCGATACCCACACCCACACCCACACCCAGAAGGTTACCAACTTAGATAGTTACCAAGTCAGATGGCGACCAACTCAGACGGCTACCAAGTCAGTTGGTTACCAACTCAGACGGCTACCAAGTCAGTTGGTTACCAACTCAGTTGGCTACCAACTCAGATGGTTACCATCTGACTTGGTAGTCAATTTAACCGACATGGAAGCCATCTCACATGGGGTTTACTGACTGGGTATGATCGATTAATTACCTCAATATAATCGTTATATACATGATTAAATTCAGCTTATATTTGTTTTCGGTGACAAAATTCTTTCGGCGAAAATAGAATCGGCGAACTTTATTTTCGGCGAATTTCTTTCGGTGAAAATTTTTTTTCGGCGAAATTCGTCTTCGGCGAAAAATTTTTTCGGCGAAAATGGACTAAATCACCCAAAATAGCCTATAAGGACCTATGAAGGATACCTCTAAATAGCCCATAAGGATCTATAAATGGTACCATTAAATTGCCTTTAAGGACCTATGAAAGGTACTTTCAAATAGGCCATTAGGATTTATGAGGATATTCCAAACAGCCCATAAGGACCTATAAAGGGTACGCTTACATAGTCTATAATGACCTATGAAGGGTACCCACAAATAAACCATAAAGACTTATGAAGGTTATCCCCACACAGGATTTGAAGAGTTATGAAGGATATCTTCAGTACAGTTTGAAAAGTTATAAGGACTATCTCGGAGTAGCGTAGAAAGAAATAGAATAATTTAATTTAATTTTCAATTTAATAAATCATGAAGTGAAAATAAGTTAAATTTATTTTCAATTTAAATGAAAAATCACATGCCTAGCTACAGGTACATTAAATCATGGAGGAATATCAATCATCTCCCTTTCACTCGTAATCACCCCTATCACTCATAATAACTCCTAATCAAGCCTAATCACTCGTAATCAAATAATCAGCTGTTTCCCCCCTGGGGTGTGGGTGTGGGTATGGATGGATGTAGGTGTGTGTGTGGGTGTGGATGTTACTCTTCTCTTTAATCACACCCACACCCACACCCAACCCCACACTCACACACCACCCACCCACACCCACACCGACACCCACACCCTACTTCTTCCGCCACAGCCACACCTACATCCATACTCACCTACATCCATACTCACCTACATCCGTACTCACTTACATCCATACTCACCCACACCCCACACCCTACGTCGCGCTTTTGCTTTCATTTGACCCTAATAAAGAGAAGAGATCTGCACACACATCTAATACGCAGTACTTTGAAGAACGACCAAATTTCGCTGGCATTTCTGCTCGGATTTTCAGGTTTTTCGAAGTCATTGGCCAAATATGAAACTATATATAGCCAAATCCAAAATTCACGATGGGTCTCCTGCCGGCGTTCCATTTTCTGGTAGGTTTTTCCCATGATATCTATCTTAATTCTTTTCCTTCTTTATTCGCTAGAAAAGGTAATTAACGCGTAATACAATAAAGCAGGCTAAACGTTAGTTTCCCTTAATAGTAAACGTGAATCATCAATTTGTTGATCCTTCAGCCCAGTAATTGTTCCTGTTCTTTATTCCACTGATCAATCTGTGCTTGTACTGCAGCCCAATCAATTGGTGGCAGTTGAAAATTTGGTACGGGACATGGTGGGAATACGCAAATAAATGGCAAGGCCCCAGTTAAACCACTCAAATCAACTGGGCCACGTCTTGTACGATCAAGAGTGTAGGCTGACGATGACCGAAGTGCTGTTGTTAAACTGAGAACGAGTGCAATAACTGCTAGAAAACGCATTTTTTTCTTACTGTTCTGAAATATTATTTTAATGTATACCAAGGGAGTTAAGAAGAAAATGGTTTATTATGTGAGTTACAAAAAGAAAGAAAGGTATGATGTGACTATCGACAGATGGCAGGGTTTTGGAGAGAGAAAGTAGGCGAAATCGTTTCACTTAATAACAGAGGTGAGGTAAGTAGAAAAAAAAAAGCAATTTAACATAAGCTGATTCTAATAATTCGAAAAAGCTTAGAACAAGTTTGGACGACTATCGTGACACTATCTTTCTCTTATGCTCGTTTTGATGGTCTGTTTTCATTCATTTCAAGCTGCTGTCGTCGACATCGACGATGCACGTAGAAATTCGGAGGCCAACTCTACTATCCAACAAACCGGTAGCAAGGCTGCAAAAGCGTGTTCCTGTGGTGCCTGTTTATTTGGGCAAATTCAAGACCCTAAAGGCTGTAAGTGTTCTGGTATCATGGGTTGGGTGTGGGTGTGTGAGTGGGCTGGGATGGGGTAATGTGGGTGTGGCTGTGGGTGTGTACGAGTTCGGATGTAGATGTGAGTGTGCCTGTGGATGTGTCCAGGAGTGTATAGAATACCCACAATTAGACCCACATCCTCACACCCACACTCACCCACCCACATACCCACACCCACGCACACCCACACCTACACCCCACCCCCACCCCCACCCCCACCCACACCCCACACCCACAATAGTTGTGCTACATGCAGGTATACCAAATAAGACTATGAAAATAATTAACCATAAGATACGTCTTATGACAATGAAATCGTGATCGATTCTTTGTTTTTTTTTTGCAGAAAAGTAAATGTTGATACATGACAACGTATATAACGCATTGTAAATACATAGATAAGAATTGTAAGTAAAACAGATGGAAGCCAAACAAGAGAAGCTCCGCGTACTATACAACGCCAATTTGTTAAATAAACTTGACAATGATAATCTTCATACTCATAATCACCTAGGAGTAGAATTGGTAATTGTAGAGATGCACTTAGAAACACTTGGATGGATATACCAAAAATATATAAATGAATATTATGAAAGAGAAATGGACGTTTAGAATAAACGGTTTTAAACAAACGATGAAGAGCTTGCAATGTATTTGAATACTATGCAGAAATAAGGGCAATTGTTTATAGATAGATTTTTGAACGACACCACAATGTGTTATTATATAATTCTGGTGCATATAGATTGATATGACCTTTGACCATTGAAATAAACATATCAAGAGTGAAGAGAGCAAATATAAATACATTCAGATATATATCTAAATTAGGAAGAAATATAATTCTATTAATTGATGACGAATGAAAATTAGCAGGATAAATATTAATGTTTGACAAATGGCAATGATACACAGGCCAATGCCAATTGAATCCAGAATAATATAATACAAGAGTGAGTTGGTAGAAAGAAGCATATTGACAGCCGAGTTACCGTTTGACATCTTAAGGATTTGATAATGAATGAACTACTTCGCCAAAAATGATATACTTATGATTGTTAATAATTCTAGTCAACTGTGACACCTATTTTACAAAAAGAAATACAGTCACATTAGCAACATTCATTTCATACACATTACCTTCGATCATAATTTTTCTCCACTAATTGAAGGCCTAATCCTCTTTTTTACTAATGTGAGTTGGATAGTTATATATATATATATATAATTATGACAAAAAGAAAGAGAAGAAAACGATACATTTCATGTTAAAAAGAAAAAACCTCAAATTAATATGTTAAAGAAATTAAAGAGAAAGACCATTGATATTCAAGAAAAGAATTTTCATGTCCTTTAAAAATCATTATATAACAAAGAGAAGCAGAAATGGAATTTTGTTCTGTTAGATGAACTCTATAAAGCTTTTATACTTATAATTGCTGACCAAAAGAATCGTTCTATCTCAACGATTAGATAATCATATGATGTAACATATTAACTTAGTAGAAAAATTATCAACAAGATTGATTACAATAGTAATTGGTATGATAACGATGCAAGTTTTTGTTTTTTGCTTACCATTCACTTTTCCGATAGAGTAGGAGAATGAAACATGAGTTTGAGTTAATTACCAAGTTTCATGTATATGTAATACTTCCAATTTCAGTTTTCACTATTTAAAGAAAAAAAAACATTACACTGTCTTGATGCCTATAGCTACATATATTTAGAATGAATTTAAAATATCACTCTTAAGTATCAAACTAATTATGAATGTTTGATCGACCATTTGAATGACTTATTTATGACGCATAACGATGAACACATGAAACTTCAGTAGTTATTTTCTGTTTAGTATGAATGTGATATCGCCATGTATGTTCTGAAAATCAGTAACATGACGACGATAAGTCAAGATTTTCTAGCTGATTTTAGTCATCTATTGTATCAATAACTTATAACTTATGATTCTATATATTTATACTTGATTTCTTGGTTTTTAATCAGAACCTCTTATAATTAGCTTGAATTAATGAATAGTGTACTTGAAAAAATTGAATATCCACATTATTTTTAGTATAGAAAAAATGCGACAAGTAATCTTTTACAATTAGAAGAGAGTGGACGGGTGTGGATGTGGGTCTCGGTATGCTTTCCGTGGATAGGTGTGAGGTATGGATATGAGCATGGACAATGAGAATACTCATATCAGGATTCACTCACATCCACATTCCGCACTCTTCATCTACAAAGAGAAAATATCTCTTTCGTTATCTTTAAATGACACCAAAAAGATTTCTTCTGATAATAGACAAAAAAATTTTGGTTGAACTTGATATATTAAAAAGTGAATACCTATCCCATGGATCATGCTAATCATCTTATCGTCTAATTTCTTTTAAAAGATGACGCATCATTTCTTTTAGATGATATTGATTGACTAATTTCAATATTAATGAAAATCTTTTATTTAAAACAAAAAAGAAACTAAACAAACTTGTCTTTTGTTGATGATTTTTCTTTTCAATTATGATTGTCATATTGTGTATCAGAAAAAAATCATATAAAATGTCTAGAATTATTATTTGTTTGATGATGATGATTATTATGAGAATGAATGGATGAATATGACTACATATAAGGATGATATCGATCTGAATAATTAAATTGATCAACATGATTTGATTCAGATAAAACACTTGAATCATAATCAATTGATAATTGTCTGAAATAATAATTACTTTTTTTTGCCGATCAATATTTATAAGATTATTATCAACTTCTTTTTTATCAAGCGCATCACGAATTGTTAAATTAAATTTTTTATCAATAAAATCTTTATCTTATTGTTTACGAAGCTAAAAATAGCAAAAAAGAATTTAAATAAATAATAATGCAAACGGTTTTCGCTCAACGTAATCCATGTTTCCATGCTGATCCAATACCCGATGGTGATGATAAAGGAATACCAGACGTTAAGACTTGACTACGAGGAATTGGATTAGGAAAAAATTGAGATGTCTAAAAAATAGAAAGTTTTTCTTTTGAGAATAGATGTCGGTATAATTATCTTGAATTCAAAAGAAGAAAATAGTGTATGTTAACATCTGTCTATTTTTTAAAAAATTGTATCGTGATTACCTTTCAAATTATGAACTACTAACTCACGAATTATCAGCTCATGTAAATATAGATTTTTGATGAAACGAAAAAAAGTCATAAACTGTGAATATTTATGATCATTCGAATTCTCAGAATATCTAATTTTTGTTTAGCAAACATCACACAAAAGCTTTCTTGAGGGTGTGAATATGGATTAAAAGAATATCTCACTCACAGTCATACCCACACACCTACACCGACAACTAATAACATAGAGTAAACAATCACATGTCTTGTAAACTATATTGGATTTCGTTTATGTGATTTATTATATAAATGCTTTCTACATATTAAATATTTGTCGCATGAAATTCTTTTGATTATCTCACTAGTAGTGATATATATGAGTAAATTCATATATATAATAAAATATTTCTGTAGATATATTATTGTTTCTAATAAAAACTTATTTATTTCACTTCGTCGATAAAATATAACACTCTACTACAGTTTTGAAGATCTTCCTAGTGAATACATTCAGTACAACGTATCAAATTAAGTACCATAGCAACAAAGTCAGGATGTTGCAGGATGGAAGTGAGCCCAGTCCAGAGATTACTCAGTCACTCTAGGTTAAAAATAATCTATCCTTGGAATTCGAAGGACATAATCATTTTTAGTTTTGACAGAGGCTCCATTCGTTAAGATACTTTTTTTTTGTCCTTCATTTCAGAACACGTAAAAGTGTTGATTAGACTAACTTATTGAAAAGTTTTTCATACAATACTATAGATCTTAGTAAACAAGTACTTTGAACTCCTTACATGTACCAGTGGTAGAAATAAAGTTTTCATATAGTTTAGAATAGTCTTTTGTTGATGACGATAGCAAATATAGATTTCAAATGTTTCTCATTCTGTTGTGTTTCTTGTCAATAAGGCTATGTTTCAATGAAATGAAGACAGTATGAATAACAAAATAACCAATCATTTTATGTATTTTGTTTTAAATATTGAATTAAATAGATTTTTCGATCGTATTTAACTTTTAAATAAACATGAACAAGTTAAATGAAAATCAACTTTCAATCAATCATCTAATGCAGACACAAAGAGATTACAAAATAATTTATATATTAAATATATATATTTTTTTTTAAATTTATTTTCATCTATATATCATTTGTTTACGATTACCTGGAATTTATGAACAGAACTAATTGAACGATAGAACAAAGTAAAGTTCTCATTATATAATAGCTCTTTCATTACGCAAAATAACTGAAGAATTCCTATCGAAAAATCTGTCAAGTAGAACTTTCGAATATCTTGCAAATTGTGATAATATATGCGTATATATAAATACGTAAAGCACTTTCTAAACTCAATATGTATTTTAAAAATCTTCTTAATTATTCACCATTTTCACTCATAATATTATTTTGTGAAAATTCATCATCAAAATAAAAAAAAATTTATGTAAAAATTTCATTATCCAGCATGAAAAATATATTATGGATATAGGATAAAATGAATTGCAAACCTAAGGATACATCAACACAAACTACACACTTTTCGAACAGATTTACTGGAGCATATAGTTATACCTCTCTTATTATGAACGATTTCAAATGAAACAATGCTCTTATTGAATATCTCACTAATTCAACTTCATCAACATATTGTCATTAAAAAAACTATTTTATCAATTTTCATAGCCTACTGTTATAATTTATACACTTTGTTTCTCATTATTGTGTTACGTTAAATAATAAAAAGAGCAATGCAAAAAGGAATGTAAATGTCTTTCATTTGTTGAATCACACAAACATACATACCCTCAGATCTGTTCGTTTTCTTGGAAAATTTCAGATCTATCAAACTTAATCATAAGTAAAAAATTCGGATCACAACTATTTCTTTAGAATTCTTCAAAAAACACGTTATTCTCAAGAATAACTTCGCTACAATAACTCTTTCAAGTTTAATTTAATGTTATTGAGAACTATTCATGATCACAACATGAGAATAAATGATCTCCAATAATTTCATATGTTTTCTTATTAAATTTTTATTATCGATTCATTAATTTGAAATAGAAAAGTCTAATTAAACATGAATAACTTTAAATATTTATTTCAAACTATTGAATTCTTTATTTTGATTAACAAGAAAACGAAAATAAGAAACAAACATCAATGAAATAATTTTAAGATTTTCTATTATTTTGATCATGTTAATAGAATTAATGAAGTCAAAAAGCAATAATATTAGTTTTTGTTTAATTTATTTTTGAACTCATTAACTAATTTTTGTGCCAATGAATTCGATATTTTATGAGTCACTCGTAAATGATGTTTTAATTTATAAAGTACAACTAAACGATGTTGACATGGTAAAATATTTACTTTTTGTTGACTATAATTTAATGTATGAATATTTTCATAAACAAAAGGACATTGAACTTTATAAAAATGATCAAGTACATCTTCATTTTCATTAAATAATTTTATTATATGAGGATCTTCATTATTAACAATAGCTTGTACTAAACGTTGAGCATAAATTTTTTTTAATTGATGTTTACGAGTAAAATGAAAGTATAATTCGATTCGACGAGTTGTTTCATGTTTACAAAATTTAATTGAATGATTTGCTTCAGTAAGACCATATGCTCCATCAAATGTTAATGGACATGTATTAAAAATATATCTGTATGATTTTAATTTATGTTTCACGTGTTTTTCATTTACATATTGATCCTAAAACACAAAAACAAAATTGAATGTTTAAATATTATGTAGAATTTTCATTGAAAAATAGAAAAAGTATAACAAGATAAGAAATAATGATATTCATATATTATATTTAATTAAAAATGAGATGTTATGTATTGAACATAGGACATGGACTATAAGATATGAACATTTTTTAATCTCGAAAAATTCTCTACTTTATATGTAACAAAACTAATTTCAATAATAAAATCATATTCTGATCAATTATCTTGAAGAGTAAATCAAATCTATTCGATTGTCAAACAGTTTAGATAAATCCGAATAGATAGAATATGTATACGATTCTAAGTTACAAGCAAAATTAAATACAACTAATCTAATTTGCAGAGAATTTCATTTTTTTTGTGCAGTAATACAGAAGAAAATCTGTTGAGTCACACTTCTTCGAATCAAATCTTTTCGAGACTTATTTTCGTATTTTATATAATGATACTACTATTTAGAACATAGTTTATTATTGTTTCTTTTGTAACAACGTCTATTAAAAACACATAGTATATACTTTTATATTTAATGAATAATTAGATATGATATGGCAATATTTCATATAGTTCCAATTGAAAAAAAATGACTTCATCGACTCTTTCGTTCATAGATATAATTAATTTTACCTGAATAGATTCGACTCTTTCACTGAAAGAAAGAAAAATATGCAACCGATTTCAATTTTTTTTTGTTTTGATAAAAATAGAAACTTACTCCAATGAAACAATACCATCAAAATTGTGATCGATATCTGTTGAATATTCATTATCTTAACACAATTATGTTTGTTTTTCTTTTTTGAAATTAAAGAAAATTTAATTTACCTTTTGAGATCTTCAATTCTTCTGCTTCATCTAAACATACAAAAAAAAAAAAACTTATATTTCGAAGTCTTTATTTATCCTATAAGAGAACTACATGAACTGATCTCCACTATTTAAACTCATATTAGATCAGCAATAAAAACTTGTCAAGAATAGAAAAAATTCGAAAAGGATCGTGTCTATAAACCGTTTTACTGAATTTTCGAGTCGTATTTCAGTATTTATTCAATAGTAAATGAGTCAATTCTATTTCGAAGGTCATCAAATACATGCCTATAGACATTTCCAGATCGAAAACAACAGTAAAAGTTGCCTCATTAACTGCAGATATTTTTACTAAGAAATCTTTCTAGTGTCAATATGAGTTCAAATGCTGATTAATAAGTTCTGTTAGTTCTCTGATTCGACTCCAGTACCTATAGTTCGATCGAAATAAATAGAATGAAATGAAAAAAAGAAATATTTTAAAGAGAGATTTCATCTTACCATTTGAATTCATATTTTTCTTATTATAATCGAAAACACGAGAACAATATTTAGTCTGTGATAATGATGGTTCGACTTTCAGCTTGATTCCTCCTTTTATAAACAAACAAAAGAAAGATATACAAAAAAAAAAGACAAAACAATTATTTAATTTAGTTTTTACCTAAACGATTTAATGCTATTGTTTGATTAATTTTTTCGAAAATATTTTGTAATTCATCAATTGAACTATTGGATATATTAAGAAACTTTTTTGCTTGTTCAATTAAATTTTGTTCATGTTCAATGGTTAATAATTTTTCTTCAATAATTAGTTTTAGTGTATTAACAACTGTATTTAATTCATTACGAAGATTATTTAATCGTTGATTTTTATTTTGTTTTGTTATTTCAGCATGTATATTCAAATGATAGAGACAAATAAGATGTAAACAACAGTGACAATTATATAATTCTTTTATTTCATCATCACATGTTATATCAGTACATTGACCTATTTCAGGCATTTCTAAAAAATAAAGGTTATTTATACCTGCAATATTCGCTGAAATATGATCCTTATCACTATGGCCAAATTGTTTAAAATAATTGACGAACTAACGAACATATACACAGGAAAGAACAGTAGTGTCAAACTTGAAAGTTGAATTCAAGTATTCAACTATTCAACTATCCAACTATTCAATTATTCAACTATTCAAGTACTCAAGTATTCAACCATTCACGTATTCAACTATTCAATTATTCAACTATTCAATTATTCAACTATTCAAGTACTCAAGTACTCAAGTATTCAACTATTCAATTATTCAAGTACTCAGGTATTCAAGTTCGTTGAATAAAAACAGAAAGGAAAAGAATGAAAAAAAATCAAACAGAAAAGACTGTCAAGTTCAAAAACTTTCGGATCCGAATCCATATTCGAATTCTACTCTTAAATTCCAATTATAATGTTTTCTTTTTTTCGTTTGATAAAGAAAAAAGTTCATGTCTTTGATTCATTTCTACAACAATACTACATTTTGACGATATTGTACAGAAATATTTTGGAACGAGAACAATTACAGTTTTGGTACTAGCATGTTTTTTTATATTGATAGAGTCAATCTTCTTATTTTAGAATAGAACGAAATTTCAAGACTTTAAACTTTCACAATTAACTTATTTTACCAGTCATAATTTGATATTACTTCAAAGGTATAGCCCATTGAATCGATATCAGATTCAGATTAGGGGTAATATTTAAACTTTACAAATACTAAAAATTTAATTTAATGGATATTTGAAAAAAAATAACAGTAGTAAATTTCAATAAATAGTCTCATTTAAAAGAAAATTTGAAGAATAAATGATTGAAAACACAACAGCACTAGACATAAGTATGAGACAAAGAATCAATATGATTTTTATTAGAACAATCTTTACGAATGATTTCTGTATGAATCAGGGTTGCCAGATCTTCTGGGTTTTCCGGAAAAATTCCGGATTTTGATATATTTGCGTTTTTTTCAGAGTTTCCGAATTTTTCCGGATATCGGACACTTTAATTCAATTTTATTTCACTTCTATTTAACACTCTAAATTAATTATTACAAACTGGATAGAGGTTTAGTGTTTGGGTAATGGATTTATATGTCAAATCTACTCTTCTCTTCATCTACTCAAATTCATTCCTTTTTCATTCTCAAATACATGACGTAATGGGTATGTTGAAAGTGTTTTTCCACTACGAAACATTTAATTGATGATCACCGAGATCGTATACCAATGGTACTCATTACAGTTGAATTAAAGATTTGTTTAAATTTCCTTTTATCATGAACAGAAATTTATGATTTTCCCTGATCAACATCAGAAGTATTGGAACTTATCCTAGTGAAAAATGTTCTACAAAAACCAATTTGTAAATTAATAGTGGAATGTAATATTTAATTGATCGTTTCTGATTTATTTTTTATTAAGTTAACAGTGTTTTGATATGTATTTTCTTTTGTTTCATTTATATTTACTTATAGAGGTAAAGAACAGCATTGCTGATAATTTGGTTAAGAAAAACGCACTTTTAGTAATAAGAAGCGATCCTAAAAACTTTTCCGGCTTTTCCCCGTATTTCGAGATTTGAATTCCGGATTTTTGAGTTTCACATCTGGCAACCCTGGTATGAATCAAGTTCTAATGATAAACGATATTTGAATGCACTAATAAAAGAATATGAATATTTAGTATCATTTGATATATCAGATGATAATCATTTTGGTTGAAACTTAAGGGTGAGTGTTAGTGGCGTAGCCAGGAAATATTGGTAGGGGGGCTCAGCCCCCAGATATTTTAACCCTGTCCGGCCGGATGTTGCCATTTGGCAACATTTTACCAATATCACCCTAGAATTCCTCTTAAAGTGATGATATATAGTTCTTTAAGTGATTTGATAATTAATTAAAGCCACCGACACATTAGAAGACCCGGGGTCTTCTATTCTGTCTCATCGCTCATAAGTTACAAGGGGGGTCTTCTATTATGTCCCCTAAAAAGTTATATTTTTCACCAGCCTTTCCAACAAATTTTTGTTTCAATTCAATTTTGTTCTACATAATCGTTAGACAAACAGTATTTTACTTATTCGACATGTGTATGATGAGATAGTAACAAATTTTATCCTGTGAAAAAAAGAGTCTATCATTGGTAATAAATATTCTTAGAATATTAAAGAAAACGTACCCGAGCACCTTGGTAAAATGTTCACTAACAGTTTTTTTTTCTAAAAAATAAGATCTGCCATTGAACAAATTTTAACTTCTCGATAACTAAATAACTCAGAAAAAGAATTAACATGTTTTATCAAACTCAATTAAATTTATTGTTCTTGTTTATTTTTGACTAGTATTAATGGACTCTGTTCACATCAAAATCTATTAATAGCATATTTATAAGTCTCAAGCCAACATCAATGAATACATTTGTATTAAGAATAAGCAATTAATAAAGAAAGAGTAGTTGGATGCACATTTTGTGTTTTCTTCTTGGTCTTTTTTTAAAAATTGACTTCAGATTTTATTGAGAATAGAAATGCGTTCTGAGTCTCATGAGAAGTAGTTACAAAAAACCGATGCGTATTAGAGACAAAAACCAAATCGAATTGTCGAATGATCTTATTCGATTGAATTTGTCTGAGGCGAACTGAATCCGATCGAAGACGTTGCCGAATTGAGATTTTCTTATTCGTTTCTGTCTTGAGCGTATATCCATGAGTTCACGTGTTTTTCAATTATGAAAGAATCCTTTGTGATGAATATGTTTCAGAATTTCTAGAAATCCCAGATAATGAGGCTTTTTAATTATTAGGCAATGAAGTTTCACATAATATGGTACTATTTTACAAAGATCTCTTCATGCGTTACATCCACGGTTCTTCACTGAGTCCATCATAACCCACGGTCATGAGAAGTTTTTTTGCATAGAGAATCGTAAAAATTCCTTCGGAATATGCTGCAAAAGACCCCTAAAAAGATTCCATGATATGTATTCTATAAAGAAATACATTCTTTACTAAATAGTTGTTTCCTATTCATCGTTTCGCAAGACTTTTTTTCATTTCGAACTGATGCATCATTTTCATACTGATCTAAGATACAATTATGGACTTAAATACTAAAAAAGTTAATAAACTCCAGAAATTATTTGTAAAAAAAATCGATTTTGTCAGGGGGGTCTTCTAATATGTCTTTTGCTTCATTTATCCAAAGGGGGTCTTCTATTATGGGGGGGGGGTCTTCTAATCTGTCGATGGCTTTACAAGCATTTTAGGGCAAATCTATGCCTTCTCAAGAAAGGAGAAAGCTATTATTGACGAGAGGGATGAATTCTCTCGCCAAGACCCAAAACCGCCTTCAAGTCGAAATGATCTGTTTTTCAATTCTCCAAGCATTCGATCTGAGAAGTAACTAGTGGTTAATTTTCCTCTCCAGATCCATTATCTATTACACCAATCAGATGAATTATTCAGTATATCCGAAGAATAGAGTGCAAGCATGTTGTCATTTGGCAACATCCGGCCGTAATGGTAGAAAAAGTTGGA